ATAAATATGTGATTATAAAAGCAATTTTTAAATATATATGTACATTTTTATATAAAAAAACCAAAAATTAGCATTTTTATTTTGTCTTGTTATTTTTTGCATAATTCCACAACTTTAAAAAAAGATATAAAGGAAAACTCAACATTAATTTTTTTGGATATGTATGTTTTTCATTTTGATATACTTTTTAAATAAATTGATCAAAAACTCGATTACTACATAGCTTTTTAATGATATCGCAATTATATAGAAATTCGATGCTTTTTTAAAATTGTATGTAGTCTTTCAATATTGAAAAATGAGATCCAAAACTTTGATGATATGTTATTCATGTAAATATGAATAAAGTAATGTTGAGATATTAAATTTCAAAGTTTACTAAGACATTTTCCAAAAATATAATTCCATTTTTCTCAAGGCCGTTATAAATTCAACATAAAACAAAATTATGCTCACTTTTGTTATAATTTTTATTATATATTTTTCTTTATAAAATAGAGAAATGATAAATAGCACACTGTTAAGGTGAAGTGACCATCACAGTATTCAAAAATAAAAACTTTTTGATAAATGTAATTAAAACTTTTTGATAAATGTAATAAGAACTTTTTGATAAATGTAATAAGAACTTTTTGATAAATGATATTTAATTTTGGCGCCTTTTATTTTTTAGACTTTAAAACGATTATCTAAATACTCGATAGCGATTATCTTAGACTTTAAAACGATTATCTAAATGCTCGATAGCGATTATCTTAGACTTTAAAACGATTTCCTAAATACTCGATAGCGATTATCTTAGACTTTAAAACGATTATCTAAATACTCGATAGCGATTATCTTAGACTTTAAAACGATTATCTAAATGCTCGATAGCGATTATCTTAGACTTTAAAACGATTTCCTAAATACTCGATAGCGATTATCTTAGACTTTAAAACGATTATCTAAATACTCGATAGCGATTATCTTAGACTTTAAAACGATTATCTAAATGCTCGATAGCGATTATCTTAGACTTTAAAACGATTTCCTAAATACTCGATAGCGATTATCTTAGACTTTAAAACGATTTCCTAAATACTCGATAGCGATTATCTTAGACTTTAAAACGATTTCCTAAATACTCGATAGCGATTATCTTAGACTTTAAAACGATTATCTAAATACTCGATAGCGATTATCTTAGACTTTAAAACGATTTCCTAAATACTCGATAGCGATTATCTTAGACTTTAAAACGATTTCCTAAATACTCGATAGCGATTATCTTAGACTTTAAAACGATTTCCTAAATACTCGATAGCGATTAACTTAGACTTTAAAATTTATACTATACCACATAGACGAAAAGACCAAACATAATTTAAATGAATAAATTACTTATTGAATATTATTTTTATGAACATTTGATATTTTAATAGATTAAAAGTAAAAATATTGGAATCATTAATATTTTACTAAAATTGTGAGAGCTTTAACAAATTTTGAAAATATTAAGAAAAAATTCAAATATTTAAATATTGACGGATATCTTACAATATTGTAAGATATTAAAAAAAAATGCTAGTAAAATCCTAAAGTTTTAATAAATATGAATAGTTTTTTTTTTTTAGTTTTTAATTTATAGCAACATGGTTTCAGAATTATTTAAATGTAGTATTCTAAAATCTCAATTAATCATTTTTTTCATCTTGCTTGTACAAATTTATTATAACTAACTGATTTTACAGAAATTTATTCGACTGTTTCTCAGTAATATAATTTAATATTAAATCGATATATTTTAAAAGGATACGCCAACTGTTTAAAAATCTAATTTTTCTTTTATGAGCTTATTTTATAAAAAAAATGAGACTTAGGTTGATTAAATGAAAGTTTGTTTTTCGAAATAATTTTAATTATAAATTTTCTGCTAGATTTGGAATTCAGGGAGTAGCCATTTGTGTCAATATTATAATCATTAATAAAAGTAACGTATTTTATACTGTTTTTTTGGCAACACATTACATATTATTATTTAATCTGGTTTAAATATGGTCATAGTGGCGCTTGCTCTATATTTTATTATCTTTTTGAGGAATTAGTTTTGTGGATAATATATCTTTTTGAAGACTTCCATATTAATTATTACCAATTTTGAATATCAAGTTTAAATTAGAGTAAAATACCAGTAACTTCAAGAATATTATTGTAATTATGTCGCTATATTCCATAATAGTTTCATTTCGGTATTACTATATTCCCAAATAATTTTAGATCTATAATTTAATTTCACAAAAAGTTCTTATTACATTTTTCAAAATGTTCTATTACATTTATTAAAAAGTTCTTATTACATTTATCAAAATGTTCTATTACATTTATCAAAAAGTTCTTATTACATTTATTAAAAAGTTCTTATTACATTTATCAAAAAGTTCTTATTACATTTATCAAAAAGTTTTATTTTTTGAATACTGTGATGGTCACTTCACCTTAACAGTGTTAAATCTATTCTACCCCTATAAAATAATATAAAAAAGAATCAATCAAGCAAAACAAAATAATAAAATTGAATGAAGGAGTGTAATTTATTTCAGACAAAAAGACGTTTATTTTCAATAAAATACGTTAATTTTGAATACAAAATGACGTTAATTTTTTGATTAAAATATTAGGAGTTTAGCTCCAAAGCACAAGGTTTTCTCAAGTAGCAATGAAGCAAGAGCCGCCATAGCTATAGGAATGAAAAACGATCCTCATTTTGAATCAAAATTAATCGAAAAAGTTTGTCCTAAATCAATTTCTCGAAATGTTCTTAATGAGATTAGGAAAGATGAAACAAGTAGACATGAAAGAAATTGTCTAAAGAAAACTCCCAACGAGAAAAAGAAGAAAAATTACTCTAGAATTAAATATAGAGAAAAATGCAAAGAGAACCCAGGTGATTATAAATCAAAAAACTGATCAATTTTAAAACTAATTAATAAACATCAATTTATAAATTCGGTTTGTATTATATAGTTATTTTGTAAAAGAATTGATAATCACCATCAATTGAAATTTTTTAGAAAAGGTGATATTGTGTAATGAAACAAAAGATCATTCAATATTTGATTATGATAATATGAGAATATTTGATTTTATGAATTTAATTGGCGTGGAAAAAAAAAAGATAATCATCATCGAATGAAAAATATAAATAAAGGCGAGATCATATGATTGTTTTAAAAGTTATCTAATAAGAACTTTACAGATCTTTGAATCTGCTCTTGTAAACGCTTAAAAATGCTAAAAGCTTTATCTAAATATTTATAGATATTTGAATTTATATATTGAATTTTTTTGATATATATCATTGAAAAATATAAAAATGCATTTATCTTCATAATCAAAAGATATTTTTAATATTAAGGTTCTCCTTTCAAATTCAAAAGATTAAATTCAATGAGATTTCACAAATAAAATATACATAAATATCGTTTTTAAAAATGAATTAAAATATAAAATTTATATAGATATATATTTCAAATGACTGAATAAAAATATTTTTATGAAATCTTATCGATTTTGTTTTTTTACAGATAGAAATCATAGAATTAAAAAATCAATAAAATTTTGAATAAAATAAGATTTAATCGTTGAGGCCATATTTTTTTATTTTTCACCAAAACTTTTTCCGAAAAATGCTCTATTGAATTTTTTATTCTATGAGTTAATTCAATATTGAATAATTTACATTTTTTTTGGGAAGGAGAACCTTAAATTGTTTTTTTCTGTAGTAAAAAAATAATTATATAATATATAAAAATAAATTTTATTTAACATGATTTAATTATCTAAAAAACATCAAGTAGACGCCCCCCTTAATGTGAACTATAGTATGAAATTTTTTCATGATGATAGCTCTTACACATATATTTATAATGGAAACATTGTGAATTCTGAATTGACTTTCAAAGATGCAAGTATTTCAAATGGAAAGATAATTATTGCAATTAAAAAAGAAACTACTGATTTCAATAATATTGTTTTTAAATGGATAAATTTAACATTAAACAAATCAATGGAAGCCAAATTAAGTATGATGGCCAATAAACAAACAAGAATGGAATTCAGCCGTCTTCAAGATATCAGAAACTTAAAAGTTGAAGGGAGCCTTAAATTGCATCGGAAGTTATCTCGTAAGTTATTTCTTCAAAGTTTAGAGGCCGAAGATAATTTATTGGATACAGACTTGCAAATAAATTATGAACCATCTTCAACACCATGCACAGAAGCAATGCCAATTCTATGGTGATTTTAATATGCTATTTCTGCTTCTTAAATCATTATTATTATTCATAAAAATAATAGAGATTGCTATACATATTTTGCTATTTAAAGCTATTTCATTTAACAAAGATTCAAATATTTAGTTTTTGATTTACTTTTAAAATATTCTTAATGATTATGTATATTCTTTCAATGTTTAACGCAAGGACACATTTATATTAGATTTATACCAAATATTTGAGGGAATAATATGTTTACCAAAATATCACAAGTTATATCATTTTCAGAAAATTCTATGAATTGTTCTTTGAAAATCTCTATATATAATCATCACCATCATTTTTTTCAAAAAACAACAAATTCAATGTATTATATAAAAAATGCCGCTTAATTCAGTGCAAAACGAGACAAGATTATATTAAATATAGTATTAAAAATTTGTATATTTCTCATAAAAAAATTGATGTAAAAGAGGGTTCAATATAAATAATATGCCAGTGCTTGTTTTTTTTATTATTACCAGAATTTGGTAAAATCAAGTGATGATGAATTATTTAAGTCATGATTTTAGATTCTTTTTAAAATTATTTTATTTCTTCATTTTTTCATTCCTATTTCTTTATTTGTGGGTTTTATAATTGCTAATCAGATTTTTTATTGCAATTTTCCTGACTTAAAATAATGGGTGAAGTCAATAATATCTTGACTTAATTAAAGTTATCAAATGAAAAAATGCAAAAAAATAGCCCCGGCAGGAATCGAACCTACATCTTAGCGCCTAGAAAGCGCTTGCCCTATCCTTTGGACCACGAAGCTTTCTTATTATTATACTTAAAACAGTAAATTTATTCGTTATTGCTATTTTTTGGTGAAGAATGATCAAAGTTTAGATATAGAAAGATTTGAAAATTCATTAAAATGAATAAGTATTAATAATAAATCAATTAAATGTGTTTTTTATATCAAGTAGCTAAAAAACATGTTTTTATACATTTATGGAAACTTTATATTTTGAATTGAAGAATATTTAAACAGAGCATGATGAAAAGAATAGAATCGAAGAAAACTTTTAGTTCATTTGAGAATTATTCTCATAAAAATCTGATAACGATTCAATTTCTTTCCCAAATTCGTAAAATAAAACCTATTATATTTTTTATAATATAATATTTAGAAATTTGAATGCATATTGAAATTGAATAAAGAAAATTTCTTTTTTTTTTTCAATTTTCAGTTGCTAACAATTGTTAGCGTAAAAAAAGATAAAAAGAAAAAATAGCAAATTATACTGTTATTATTAATTTCTTATCATAATACGTATAAAAATTTAGTATAAAAGAATTAGAATTTTGAATTGATAACGTATATCCTCTTTCAATTATTTAAAATAAAATAAAATATTATATATTTTTTAAATATACTGTTAAAAAACATTTTAATTTATATTATTAATGAATTATTAATATTTATAATAATTTTCTATATATAATAATATATTTAAAATCTAAAAACATGGAATTAAAATCATATATTTTAAAATTAATATTTTTTGGATCGGTAATAATTCAATAATTATACAATTTTTATGTATTCAAAATATAATACTAGACTATATATTAATATTATTAATATAAAATTTATAACTATATTAAATATAAGAAGTAATACATAATAATAAATATAAAAAAAAGTAAGTTTTTGTATTTAAACTTTATTTTATTAGGATATTTCAGTTTTATTAAATAAAGTAGATATTTTTATTTAAACTTTAAACTGTAAAAGCCTAAGTCATATCATTTTTATTAAAAGTATGGCAACTCGTCTTCATATCAAAATTTGCGAAGCTAGAAATGTCCTCAAAATGGATGTTGGCGGCAAATCAGATCCTTATGTCACACTTCGATTAAAGAGCCAAGACAAGAAAGACTATCAAAAGACCCAAATAATAAGTAACAATTCCAACCCAGTCTGGAACCAAGAATTTGATATCACTGCCACAGATCCAAATGATATGTTATTGATCAACATGTACGATGAAGATATCAAAATGGATGACAAAATGATGGATGAACTTCAATACCCAGTAAATTCATGGCCAGTTGGCGGACCAGTTGATCGAAAGGAAATCGATATCAAACTAAAGAAGAAGAACGCCGGCAAATTGGTCTTCGAAGTGCAAGCATTCCCAGCAGGAGGATACGCATCGGGTGTTTCTGAGCGTGCAGTCAACCTTGGAGGTGTCAACGGAACCAATGGATGCCTCCTTCAAATCAAGGCATTCGATGCAAGCGATGTCCTGAAGATGGACACAGTTGGCAAGTCAGATCCATATCTTCGATTCCGCCTGAAAGACAAGAAAGAATCAACTGTCAAGACACAAATCATCAGCAACACAAAGAACCCAGTGTGGAACGAAGAGTTGAGCCTTTATTCATTCAACAGAAACGCCGATGTCCTCGAGGTCGACATGCTCGATGAAGATATCAAGAAAGATGACAAAATGATGGACAGAATTGAGATTCCATTGAGAGACCATCCAATTGGTGAGCATTATGTCTTCAATCAGAACATCAATTTAAAGAAGAAAGACGCAGGAAGACTTCACTTCGAAATCAACTTCTTGCCAGGCGATGGAAATGGATCAGCAATACAATCAAGAGACGCTCAACTCGGCCAATCATACGGTGCTCATCCAGGACACTTGAAGATCCGTGCAGTTAACGGAACAAATCTTAAGAAGATGGACACCGCTGGAAAATCCGATCCTTACATGACATTTGGACTTAAAGGACGATCCGATTCAAAAGTCAAAACACAAGTCATTTCAAACAACTGCAATCCAGTCTGGAATGAAGATTTAACACTCGATGTTCCAGATATCAAGAATGACGTTTTACTCGTCAACCTTTGGGATGAAGATCTCAAAAAGGACGACAGAATGATGAATGAACAATCAATCCCACTTTCAAGTGTTCCAATAGGACAAAGACAAGTCTTCAACAACAGCGTAAACCTTAAGAACAAAGATGCTGGAAACATCCACTACGAATATGTCCTCAATGAAGGATCAGCTGCAGAAGCCCGAGAAAGAGACATTTCAGTTGCACAACCATGCAAAGTCATCGTTCACGCAATAAAAGGAGAGAAACTTAGGAAGCAAGACACACAAACAACTGATCCTTACCTTACATTGCAATTGAAGGAAGATCCAAACAGCCTTAAAAGAACAAGGGCAATCAACCACGATTTGAATCCTGTTTGGAATCAAACATTCGAATTACACTCCAAAGATTGGAACAGCGATGCACTCGTTGTTAACATGGCGAACCAATCAGCAAGACACAATGGTGACAAAATGATGAACGAAGTTGAATTACCACTCCGTAATTGGCCAATCGGCACTCACATCGATTACCAAGAGGATGTTTGCCTTAAGAAGAAGAAGGCAGGACGTGTTTATTTGGGAATTGATGTTCTTAACGAGGATCAGCCACCAGTTGCTCAACGTGATGTTGAAGAGACTCCTGTTCAAAGCACACAAGAATTAACTGAGCAGGAGACTGAAACAATTCAACCAACCGAAACCGAAACCGAAACTGAAACAATTCAACCAACCGAGACTGAAACTGAAACATTGCCACCAACTGAAACTGAAACTGAAACATTGCCACCAACCGAAACTGAGACTGAAACAGAAACCGAAGTTACTCAAAGCCGTGGCATAAACCTTGATGATCCATCTGGTGATTACTGCGACTTCACATGGGGCGAATATGATTCAAGATACTCAACTGACTTCACTGGATACACACAAAATTCATCATCTCTATCCAACATGCGTTCAACTGAAGAACGATTCCACCACCATCACCGAATCCATCCAGAAAATGATGCAAACTAAAGTGATTTAATCCAGAAAAAAACCTAACTTTTTCACAACAAATGATTCAAACAAATCAACTTTAATTAATATCATGCTTAAAAAAATAATTTTTTATATTGCAAATACTTTTTTTTTATTCATTGAAGATTATGTTTATATATAAAAGTTTAAATCATTTTTTTTTTCTGTAATTTGACAAAAGATCAACAATTTTGGTATTATCTCTATCCATGGCGTGATCAAGTGCTGTTTTACAAAATTTTAATTTAAAAAAACACCATTAATAATTTAAAAAAGTCAATTTCATTAAAAAAGCTAGTTTTAAAACATCATAAATATATCAGTATTTGAATATCCTTGGCATCAATATCAATGTCTTCATGTGATAATAAATACTGACAAATTTCTATGCTCTTCCAACGCGCAGCTATCATCAAAGCTGTCAAATTAAATACTCAAATTAAATCCCAAAAATAATTAGCTTTTTTTTAATTTTATTAAAAAGATATCATTTGAATGTTATAAATGCTAATGTATTGAAATGTTTTTGATATTGATATCAATGTTTTCATGTGCAATTAGTAATCGAACAATATCGGAATTATACATATTAACAGCTGAAATTAATGCAGTATTGTTAACTACTAGAAATAAATTCCATTTAATAATATATAAATTCAAATATCATGAATAAAAAATCAGATTTGAATGTTATGATCACTTTTGTTTTAAAAATTTTTTTTATATTGACATCGATTCCTTCTTGTGCTAATAAAATCTCAACTATATCCTTTTCGTTTGCTGCTGCAGCAACATTCAATGCCGTATCATTTAAAAAAAATTGGTTAAATTCCATAAATAATGTTAATATTTGAATCCAATTTAAAAAGCCAGTTTTAAATATGATAAAAAAAAGCGTAGATTTAAAATGTTTTGAATATTTATATCAATATCATTGTTCGTTAATAATAATCTAACATTTCTTGAGTGACCTGTTTCAGCAGCATTAATCAACGCTGTTTGATTTAATATTTGTTTGAAATTCCACAAATAAATGAAGTTTTCAATCATGTGAAAAAAAGGAGATTTGAACATTAAAAAAAATTTTTTTTTGTTTGATAATGTTTTGAATATTGACGTTTATATTTTTGTGAGCCAGTAGTAATCGAATGATTTCAGTATTATTCTTATTCTCAGCTATTATCAAAGCAGTATTATTAAATTGTTCACGAAAAATGCCATAAATGATTGCTATTTTGAATATCATAAAAAAGAATGATTCAAATTTCATAAAAAAAAATATTGATTTCAAATATCTCTAATATTGACATCAGTTCCATCATATGATAATAATATTCGCATTATTTCTGTACGATCATACTTTGCAGCTAGAGTCAATGCTGACATATTTAAATGCTTGATGCGAATTCCATTAAATACAATATTTCAACGAACTAAAAAAAGATGGATTAAAATAGTATCAATGATTTTGCATTAAAATATCCTTGATATTAACATCAATTCCTTCATGTTCAAGTAATAATTGAACTATTTCAGTTTGATTATGATATACAGCAATGATTAAAGCAGTATCGTTAAATAATAGACTCAAACTCCAGAAAAGATTGAATCTTTAAACAACATAAAAAAAAATATTATTTTTAATTTTATGAATTTTGTCAATTTAAATTCCTTTTACATTAATATCAAAGCCTTTGAATGCTAGTAACAATAGAAGATTGGCACTAAAATTATTTTTTGCACCAGGAAGTAAAGATGTAAGATTAATTATTCAAGTTGAATATCATAAAACAATTTTAATATTTCAATACCATTAAAACTTTGTATTAAAAAATGTCATTTAAAATGTTAATAATGAAATGTTTTTTGCGTTTATATCTATGTTTTGTTGTTGTATATAAAGCTTTACAAG